TCAACAACGCCGTTGTCTGTTTGCACGTATAGCATGACAAATAATTAACTGCACTTGAAGCTTTTAGTAAATTAAAAATGAAACACCCAAAACTGTATATGGCATCATAACGAAGACGAACTATATGTTTCTGCGTGAAATTCTGGAGGGGACGTCGGATGGCATCGCGTGGTGACGTAATGTCGTGTGCCATTAATCGATCTATGTTCTATAACATGTAAAACGGGAACACGAAAGGAATATTCTAAAAGCAACTCATGTAAACACCTTAATCATAATATTGTCTTATTCAGAATAAGGTAAATAATTAGATTATTGATGTCTACGTAAACGTAGTCAGTGATTCCAAAGATATAATTTCTCTGTGCCTTTATCGTTATAGCTGTGGTGTGGACTCTGCTATTCTTTAATATTGAGAAATAATATTGAGATTTTTAGAACTATATCTTTATCATTATCTTTACAGTTCGCTTTCGAAGACTGTTCACTTCGACATTGCATCAGGAATCTGACGCGACGGGGACTCCCTTCCTTTCTTAACCTACCTGAAATGTTATTGCACAACGCCAGTGAAGTTGCACTTCATACTGGCCAAGGTCAGCCAAGATGTCGAAAAAGGGGCGGAGCCTCGCCGCTATATAATGCGCCACCTTGGCGGCATGAACTCAGAATCTTCCTCTTTCAAGCATCCTACTTCAAGACAGCTGTGGAGAAGACGCAAGAAGACTGATTTCCCTCTTGGCGTTCCAGCATGTCAAGCTATTGCACGCTGTGTTCGGGACCCATTGAGGCTCCGGACACCCACAAGTACTGCATCCTGTACCTGGTTCTCACCCATGCGGAGGCAGCACTCGCCGGGTCCAACTGCCCGCACTGTGAGGAGTTCTCAGTGCGGGTACGTAGGACCCGGAGGAATATAGCACTTGGTGATTTCTCCCGGCAGCGTCTGCGAGCCACTGGTGGGACTGCCGCATGGGAGCAATCGCACACAACGTGCTTCGCCCACTCCCCCGCTCTCACCTCTGGTGTCATACGATGGCAGTGCTGCAGGTTTTTCAGGCACAACTCCTGAAATCCCTGGACGAGGGGGAGTCGGATCCTGAGGCATTTAAAGATCTGCGCGCGGTGACAGACTTCGCCTTAAAAGCCACGAAAAAGACGGCACAGGCAATCGGACGGAGCATGGGTTATATGGTAGTGCTTCACCGGCATCTGTGGTTGACGCGTCGATGACGGGCTGGGGAGCACATTGCGACGGCATACCGGCTTCGGGCTCCTGGACGGAGTCGGAGAGGACGTGGCACATAAATTGCCTCGAGCTGAGAGCAGCCTTTTTAGCCCTCCGGAGCTTCCTCACGCAGGTGTGGGGGCATCATGTGCTGATTCCACGGACAATACGTCTGTCGTATCGTACATAAAACGGCAAGGTGGGGTATGCTCGAAAGCCCTCTGCGAACAGACGGCCTGCCTGTTGCTATGGGCCGATCGCCATCTGCTCTCCATTCGCGCAGCGCACGTTACGGGTTGCCTGATCAGTGGCACGGATATGGTATCGAGGAACGGGATTCCTCACAGAGAATGGAGGCTGAACCCCGGGTCAGTGAGACTGATTTGGGAGCGGTTCGGGATGGCAGAAATGGATCTGTTGGCGACAGAGGAGAACACGCATTGCCCACTGTTCTTCTCTCTGTCGCGCTCTCCCCTGGGCGGGGACACACTCACAATGCCATGGCCGAAAGCCCGGTTGTATGCATTCCCCCCACTGAAGATTTTGCCACAATTGCTGTACAAAATCAAAGAGGAGAGGGCGCCGGTGATTCTAGTCACTCCGTGCTGGCCAAACAGACCATGGTTTCCCGACCTGCTGGAGATACTGACAGTTTCCCCGTGGCAGATTCCGCTGAGATAGGACCTCCTCTTTCAGGCGGACGGCTCGATATGGCACCCCAACCCCGAATGGTGGAAACTTCATGTGTGGATGGTGTGCGGAAACCGGTAAGCCTGGGCACATTATCTAGCCACGTGATGGACACGATTACAGAGGCGCGAGCTCCTTCTACGAGACGCTTGAATGCTCTTAAATGGGCAGTCTTTGTTAAATGGTGTGAATCGAATGGCTGCGACCCGGAGAACTGTCCCGTATCTGACATTCTGGGCTTTCTGCAACAGCGAATGGATGGCGGCAGTATGCCTTCCACTCTTAAGGTTTATGTTGCAGCTATCTCAGCCTCTCACGCGAATAACAATGGGCGATCGGTTGGTAAACACGATTTGGTGATCAGATTTTTGAGAGGTGCGAGATGGCAGAGACCCTCTCGCCCTCCCACTGTGCCATCCTGGGATCTGGCTCTGGTGCTGAGAGCACTGGCTCTGCCACCCTTTGAGCTGCTTCAGTCTATCAGTCTGAAGGAGCTCTCGCTTAAAACCGCTCTGCTGCTCTCCCTCGTTTCGGTCAAGCGCGTGGGGGACTTACAAGCACTATCTGTGAATGCTGCTTGCATGCAGTTTGGGCCAGGTGATTGTAATGTCACACTCAGACCCAGATTGGGCTACGTGCCCAAGTCGCTCTCGACACCATTCAGAGCGCAAGTGGTGACGCTTTCTGCTTTCACTCCAGAGCCGGTGGCCTCCTTGGACGCCGCCCCTAATCATGTTCTATGTCCGGTACGAGCTTTGCGTGTTTATGTTGACCGCATGGCTCAGTTCTGTCAATCTGAGCAGCTATTTGTGTGCTTTGGAGGCAGAACTAAAGGGCAGCCTCTTTCTAAACAGCGGCTATCGCATTGGGTAGTCAATGCGATTGCTTTGGCTTATTCTAGCCAGGGTATAGAATGCCCTAGTAGCGTTAGAGCTCATTCGACGAGAGTGGTTGCCTCCTCGTGGGCTTGGACTAAGGGCGTTTCTATAAAAGACATTTGTATGGTGGCTGGATGGTCTTCGCTGAATACCTTCACCAGATTTTACAATTTGGACATGTGCTCATTGGCCTCACAGGTCTTGACGGTGAGCTCGACCCGTGCTTCCACATGCGGGTTCTAGCCGCTTGACTCTATATGGTTTCGACTAGGTCGTATAGTTGGAATTCAGAGGCGGGGAAACCACCGTACCCAGACAGCGGTGCTCACTTGGTGCCGTTGGAGCGAGCTTGTGACACATAGTGTTATCGTGTGCTTCGCCCTTTCGCTGTATTACTGCTTAAGGGTTAGCAAGGCACAAGACGGCAGTTCGTCTCTGCACTCGCGGTGTGCACCAGCTTGTTTATGGCCTCTTATATTAATGCACTAGTACCGGCTACGGCTGCTAGCTGAGTGTGTATACTGTTATCGTTGTGCTCACATCCAGTGTCTGCATTATTATACTTTGCATTACATGCTTATATATATGCATACTGCCTATAACGTCCTATCTTTAGTATCAAGTAGTCAAGTAGTCTCTCAGCAAAGCGGCTGAGTTTGGATTCTGAGTGATCTGATTGGTTCTCTGGTCAGGAATATACATCCAATCACCTGGGGGGCCTGTCAGGGGGTCGTCTGTGATTGGTTGGAGAGTGTTTGGTGTGTAGCGCACTGTCAGCTCCGCTGAGGCTGAGCTCTCTTCACTGTTCTCACGGCACTGTTCTATACAGTCCCTGTTGCGTCAAATTCCTGACGCAATGTCGAAGTGAACCGTCTTCGAAAGGGAACGTCTCTGGTTACTTTCGTAACCTCGGTTCCCTAAGAGACGGGAACGAGACATTACGTACGCGGCCGTGTTCACTGCTCAGATCTGCTGTGCTGGTAGTTCAGTCTGAAGATTCTGAGTTCATTATTATATAGCCTTTTTCGCCGTCATGGCTGGCATTGGCCAGTATGAGGTGCAACTTCACTAGCGTTGTGCAATAAGATTTCAGGTAGGTTAAGAAAGGAAGGGAGTCCCCGTCGCATCAGATTCTTGTGCAATGTCTCGTTCCTGTCTCTCAGGGAACCAGGGTTACGAAAGTAAATGGAAACGTTATCGTGCTTGGTGTGAACGAAAGTGTAACGGCTAACTTGGATCATGTGTGCTTTAATAACCAATCACATTACAGCCTTGATGTCATTGAATTTCAGTCAGAGACACTCAATTGTCGTTTACGGATACCATAGGAATGAATGAGAAGTGCCTTAAGCTGAATCCCACCTGTCGCAAAAAGTCAGTGACTTCTCTTATAAAACAGCATTTTTTCAGTGTAAACTCTAAAAATAGTTCAATCCAAAAGTATTGTTTAGTGTAAAACAGGTTGAAGATTAGCAGATAGGCTGTCGATTCATTAAATGATGAGCTGTTTCCTCTAAAAAGCTGTTTATTTAGCGTAGTGAAGCCTCTCCTCTGTTGACATCCATTAAAAAAAAAAAAACGGCCTCTGTCTCCTTTCTGTTAGCATTAGCTGTTATGCTTTTTGGTCAAAGGTTGCAGGCTTGCCTTCTAGTGGCTTTGGCCAGTTGTCCCATTCATATCTATGAGTTATCCGCTGTAATTACAACAGTGATATATTTACGACAGTAAATTCCACTTACTTAACTGTAGGGGGCTCTAAAGTCGCAAAAATACACAAAACTACATACATTTCCTTTAACATTGGAGCTTGATACCTCACATAAGAACTTGTTAACATGCTTCAAAAGTCCTCTAAATATGTTAGGTAAAAAAAGTATTTTAAGTATTTTAAATCTTTATCCAGAACAAACATACCTTTTATTGTGTACCTGACTCTGACATTATATTATCATTTATTCAGCAGACTTCATTACACTATTTTATGCAGATTAAATTATGCTCTCTTAAAGATACACAGTGCAGATGTGTTTTAGATTAGTTTATTACTCACTGGAGATGATTTAAACCAGATCTCTCTCTCTCTGTGTGTGTAAAGGGGCTGTAGTCACAGGCTCTGCCAAAGCCAAACCAAAATAGTGTAAAGCAGCTGCTGTGAGAGGAGTCAAATGTGAGAACTTTCAAAGCAACAGTGCCATGTGGCTTCATTTGATCACCTGTGTAAGTGTAATAGATGACAAGAAGGTCACTGATTGTTCAGAAACAGAGAAAGGGGGGTTTGTGAGACTGTGAGAACTTGAATGTGAATGAATTCATGTGGGATTGTAAGCAGATAAACTAAAGCTTTTTTAGCAAAAATTACAAGGCCTCCAATAGTTTTGATGTGAAAAATACACCTCTGTCTCCCTCTGTCACGCGGTTCCCATCTGAAGGTTCCTCTGAAATAATTTAATTGTCACTTTAATTGTATCCTGTCAACCTTGAACAATAGGTTCCTTTCATTACTATAAAAATACAAAAACAAAGAAGAGAGTTGGTCTATCAAAAGCAAATATCTAGAGTCATTTTCTCAGGGATATCAATATAAAATAATAGAAATAATAGAAATAGAAAAGGCCTTATGTTGGGGAGAAGAAAGCTGGAGAAAGGCTACTTGCACTTTAAAGCGGGTACACAGCGTCATATTTCACCTCTCCTAATATTTCCTCATAAAAGCCTTCTCGCCACACTCAAGCTGAAGTCTCAGGCTGAAATAAATAGCTTGTGCATCCCTCTACCATACCAGCTCTCTTTTATTTCAGCCTTGCACGTGAGCTTGTAAGCTTCATGACCTTCCCTGTCGTGTTTTACTTTGACTGGTTGCTATTTTTTATGTTTTTTAAATATGTACAGTATTATGTGTATATATATATATACAGTCACATGAGTCACATGATCCTTCAGAAATCATTCTAATATGCTGATTTGCTGTTCAAGAAACATTTATTATTATTATCATCATCATCATTATTATCAATATTTAAAACAGTTGAGTACATTTTTTCAGGATTATTTGATGAATAGAAAGATCCAAAGATCAGCATTTATATGAAATAAAAAGCTTTTGTAACATTATACACTATACCATTCAAAAGTTTGGAGTCAGTATTATTTTTTGGGGGGGAGGGAAGGATTATAGAAATTAATAGTTTTATTTATTTAGATGCTTTAAATTGATCAAAAGTGATGATAAAGACAGTTATAATGTTACAAAAGATTTCTATTTCAGATAAATGCTGTTCTTCTGAACTTTCTATTCATCAAAGAAACTTGAAGAAATTATACGCAGCTGTTTTCAACATAATAATAATACATTTTGAGCAGCAAATCAGAATATTAGAATGATTTCTAAAGGATCCATGTGACTGATGCTAAAAAATTAGCTTTGAAATCACAGGAATAAATTACATTTTAAAATATATTCAAATAGAAAAAATATTTTAAATAGTAAAAATATTTCAATATTTTATCGTTTTTGCTGTAGGCTTGGTGAGCAAAAGAGACTTCTTTTAAAAAAAACATTAAGAATCCTACTGTTCAAAAATTTTTGACTGGTAGTGTATATATAGACACTGCTTTTATTGCCTCAAAAAAGTATATTTTAGAATATATTAGAATCTGTTCTGAATTATACATGTATTTTGCAAATAGTGTACCCACTCGAGCAATGCCAACAATTTGACACCAAATGTATTGCGGTTACAGAATTAAATATTTATGAATCATAAAAAATATTTCATGGTGGCATGATGAGAAAAGCATTGAGAATAGCATAACATATTTACAGTTGTGCGCTGTGTGATCATTGGACATCTATTTCTGCTATTTATGAATCAGTGTAATATATATAGATAATTGATGTGTCATAAATCATTAGGATCATTTTAATAATTTCTAATTCTGTTCAGTATAGATTACCCAACCACCTGGTGTGAAAACAGATTAGAATGAACTTGTTGTCCAGGAACATTGCGCCAACTGCTGGCATGCTGAGCGAACAGCTCAAAACAAAGATAACAGCGCCCTCTGCTGAGCAAACGTTGGCTTTTACAGTGATATGTTCATCTATTTAGGTCAAAGCAGAAAATTGCTAAATTTTGCAACTATCAAAATAAAAGTATCTGCGATATTTAATATTTTCATATAAGACATGATTCTATTGGTCAAACAATCTAACACATCAAACTTACATGCAACTCAACAAAATGATTGCACACTTAATTGAAGAGCTTGTTGTTACCTATTGCCCACGATACATGCAATTTTGTTAAAAAGAGAGCAATCTTATAACTCAATAACTCAAATTTATATAACAGAAATAGACAAAATTGCCTTTAACTGAAAATTGAGTGTTTACTATTATCATTTTGCATTACTGACACAATATTTTCCTAATTAATGCTGTACAGTTGCTTTGACACAATCGGTATTATTAAAAGCGCTATATAAATAAAGGCGACTTGACTTGACTTGACAAAATAAACTGTTGTTTATATTTTAAAAACAATCACAGATACTTATAATATATTCATATTTTTAATCAGATATCTGTTTAACTAACCCAAATTGCCATGATATATAACTACCTATATACTATAGTTTTTTTTATTTACTATTGTATTTTCTGTATTCATCTTTACGCATTACTATTAAGCATTAAGGATGAATCATAAATGAAACAGAATTTAAAAACTACAAATTATATGTTACACTAGTGATTCCTTATAAGATGTGAGCACTAAGAAGCTTTGCATAGTGTTCAGGTCGATACCTTTGAAGGTAAACATCCATTTTCCCCTTTACTTTCTTCTGACAGCTTAAACCTGTGGAGACAAACAAGATAAATACAGTATTTATTATTAAGTGAAAAGAGGTTTTTATTTTTATGTAATTCTAAAGGGTTATTAATAAACAATAGATGCCAAAGTGTTTTAGACATCTGTGACCCTGTACCACAAAACCAGTCAATCAACAATTCTGTGTTTTTCTGTCAATATGGGGTGCTGTGTGTACATTAATGAGGAAAAAAAATTAACTTAAATGATTTTAGCAAATGGCTGCAATATAACAAAGAGTGAAAAATTTAAGGGGGTCTGAATACTTTCCGTACCCACTGTATACGGTTATTATATATTTTTGGCATAAAAGAAAAATCTATAATTTTGACCCTACAAATGTATCTGTGCTACTTATGACTGGTTTTGTGGTCCAGGCAGGGTCACATTTATGGTTTATTAGGCAACAGATATCAACTTTCTTAGCCATGGTTATTATAGTAAACTAAAACTGAAACTAAAACCATAAAAACAATATTTTTGTTACTTGAAATAAATTTAACGTTAGCTGAAATAAAATAAAAAAACTTTTAGTTAGTATTAGTATTTATTAGCATTAATTAGTTATATTATTAACTAATAATTAATCAAAACTGTAATAGAATCTCAATCATACTAAAGTAACACTGATCTATATATGATATGTGTGTCCACAAACATGAGCTTACCCAGTTCTACAGCAGTGCCTGTAATCCTCTGCAGAGCTGCATTTATGTCACCTCCTTCAGGCACCAGAACCTCAATCTCTCCCACACAATATCCGAAATCAGCCTGGTCCAGATCCACCCGCACTGCACCGGCCTCCCTCTCTAGTGTGTAAGAGCAGCGCTCGGTCTTGAACTCAGCAAAACAGACCAGATTGAGGTCATTCAGCCACTTTGTGTCATCTGCTGAACAGATCTCTGTGTCCTCATTTTCTGCGACTTTGTCAATTTGTTCCCTTTGTGAGGAATTTGATTCACTCCCTTCAGCGGTGTGTTCCCTGATTATCCTGCTGACTTCTGATTGAATCAGAGGGAGACTGGTTATCTCTCTGTATCTTGTACAAAGGGTCTCGGTGTCATTGTCAGGTGTAGTTCCTGAAACTGCAGGGCATTTCAACTCCCACAATCCCTCTCGGCATCTCAGCCAGAAATCTTTTAGCGTGAGGATGAAATCTGGCGAGTCAAAGTACTGGTCTCGGAACTGCCACTGACCAATGCATTTAGCTGTACAGAGACATGAAAATATAAGAAAAAGACATCAAATGAAAGGGTGGTTAAAACTGTTGCTTGTTACTTTAGGATTCTGTATAATAATGAAAATAAGTATAAAGTGTGTGTGTGTGTGTGTGTGTGTGTGTATACCTACTTAACCATATTTTGGGGACAAATTTGTACCCAAAAGTGAGCTAAGCCTGGCAAAATCTCCAAAAACCTCCCTTTGGGGACGTCCTCATTTGTAAAACTGGTTTAAAAATAAAGTAAACGGTTTTTTTCTTTTTTGTAAAAATGCAGAAAGTTTTCTGTAAGGGTTTTCTGTAAAGTTTTCAAAGGGTTGGTGTAGGGCGATAGAATATACAGTTTGTACAGTATAAAAACCATTACGCCTATAGAATGTCCCCATTTAGATAGCTATGTAAGTGTGTGTGTGTGTGTGGTATAAATGATTCATTTGGATAATGAGAAAATGTGAACACACCTCCAATATCTTGTAGTTTCCACATAATTTCTGCATCACAAACGAATTTTCTCTCAACTTCTACAGTCATTTTGTTCTATGAGACAAAAATCAAAACGAGAAAGACAGTTGAATATTGGCATATTCATTATATTAATTAAAGATTGTAGTAATGGACAGTCTGTAATGTTGTAGTGCCAAATCAAATCAGATCAGCTGTGTTTCAAAACCAAGAGAGCTGCCTAATAAGACAGTAGTTTTCCGCTTTCGGGACTGACTTAAAAATGCTGTCTAGGTAGGCAGCTCGTTATGTTTCGAGACACAGGCAACAGCAAATATTGGTAACAGTTTAATTAATTGTTAGCTCAGACAGTGGTAATTATACTGTAACTAAAACGGCGATAAAAATCCGGTTGAGATATTCAATGAAAACAAACTATCAAACAAAAAACAAGTAAACTTACTGATCAATCAGTAGTGTAATGAGGACAGACGCGGAATCGGGGTCCTGTGCAGCTTTTCCGTTCAGGCATATTTACGGACAGCCTAATATCTGCAGAATGATTCTAAGTATTACTTACTGACAAATACTGTATTTCTATCAAGATTAGACATTTTACATATATGTTATTGCCTAACACATATTGCTACTTTATCCAGTTTGGTTTTGTTTTAAATATTTAGACAGCAAAATAAAATAAAAACTAATAACATGTTCAACAGCATTGCCAAAAATATACATATACGTGTAAATATTGTATCCATAATATATCATAATAAAATATATACTATTTTCATGTTAGGACCATGAGACTGCTCAAATATCCAGTTGTTATAAATAAAAACAAGCTGAAAAGAAAGTGGAACAGCACTACAAATCGATTATATATATATATATATATATATATATATATTATCAAGACAAAAACCTAGTTAATTTTAATTCATTTGTAAGTTTCTTTGGGTAAAAGTGTCTGCTAAATGAATAAATGTAAATGCAAATGTAAATATAGATAGATAGATAGATTTGCTTCTGTATTAATGTGGCTAAATATCAAAGTTGATATTTTTGTATTTTTATTTAAATAAACAAGTCTGTGTGCAATCAGTTTGATCAGCATTGCAGATCAGACCAGACTGCATTTTCATTTTAATTATTAGATTACATTTATTCGCTTAGAACTATTTTATTTGGTTATTAGATAGCATATAATAATTAGTACAGCATTAATAATAACAAACCATGCCTAAATAAATAAATATATATTTATTAATTATGTATATGTTACAATCACCTACATTTAAACATTTCTGTTTTGTCATGTGGTTTTTTTAAATACTTCGCCTCTTCAGCCTTAAAGACGAAAATAGAGTATAAATAACTGAATTAATGTCAGTATAACAACATTGTTCCAACATGCTTTTTTAGGTGTGTTGAATCATTTAATAAACCGTTAGAGGGAAGAGGAACATTCTTGGAGAGAGCGAGCAGTCGGCTTTTGGGGGAGCTGTCGTGCGTTTACTAGAGGAGAGCAATGCGAGAGTGAGCGAGAGAGAGAGAGGGAGGGAGGACTGACGGAGTGAGTGAGGGAGGGAGAGAGAGAAAACTTTTCAGTTTTAAAGAGCGAGAGGAAGCGTGTGCTGGAGTCCCGACCATGCAGGTAAAAGCCTTAGCTAATTGCTTTAGTGTTAATTAAACGATGTTGACGCCGAATTGTTCAAGAAGTTGCGATCGAGGGGGCGATGCGGATCTCATCGCGTCCCGAGTACGACTAATAATTAGATGCATGCCATTTCACTGCGAATATTTAGTTACAATTCGAGTGTTAAAAGCCCAACTTTTCTGCCTCGGTCTCTCATTTTGGCCCCGCCACCCCCTTTCGCTGCTCGTTGTGTTGCACGTCGCTCTTTTCGAGCAGCAATGCGCTTCATCCAGCGTTAATTACTGCGTTCTGCAATTATTAAAACACACTTATAATGCTCAATAACAACATTATATACTAAACGGCGAACTTAGACCGCCAACTGCAAGGTATTGGGTTAGATAAACGCTGAAAAGGGACTGCAAACGGGTTGTTTTTAACACCTCTGTATAAAGCAACCCAAATTCATTAATTAAATCGCTTAGTCGAAGTAGGCCGCAATTTCCGCTGTGGAGCGGACGGCGGGCGGAGAATGTCTCAATGCCCGACCAACAGGCCACAATCAGTGGGGCGAGGAACTAATCAAGCCCGAGGTTTTACATCTGAGAGTCGAAAGCCTATTTACACAATTCAATTAGTGCGTTAAAGCAGACTTGTGCTGCAGCGTCTCGAGCGTTGCGATTGTTTTAGCTTTTAATTTATTCTCGCAGCTCTAATTCTGCGTCTTTGAGAAGTTTGTGGGCGATTTGCGTTTTGATATGCGATACATAATTAGTTGACCAATTTGTTGAGTGTGTTGTTCGCTGCGTTAGCCATGTGAAGTGCCACGAATGTTTATGAGAAAACGGCTTCTTTTGTTTTAACATCACCCTTAAAGTAAGAAATAACAAAAATCAGTCGCTTTGCAGCGATTAAAGTTGGAAAAGGGGGTAATTAGGGCAGCAGACTGCAGTGCGATGCACTTTAATGGAGTATTTGTCATGATTACACTGGAGTGAGTGTATGTGTGTGTGTGTTAGCGAGGCAGGCTAAAGCTCTCCGTTTCCGATTGATTCAACCGCACACGGGTCTTGCTAATTAGGCTGTGGGTTAATTAACGAAATCATCAAGAGTTATGGCGGCCATATGAGCTCGCTGTCGAACGGCAGTGTCCCGCGGCGTGTGGGTTCGTCTGTCTTTGACTTTTAGGAGAAGTTAATAGTACTTGTGTTGAGGATTCAGTGCATGTTTTCAGTCTAGCAGGGAAGCTAATTGGCGTGGCATTGTAGCACTGTTGGCATTTGATGTCTGTTCGTTCCTTGACAGTGGCATGTAAAAACGAAGCCAGAAACTGTATAATTTAAATGATTTTGCATGCATACGTTAAATGAAGTCGTTTAGATGTCAATTAAGATGTTTATGTTTCTGTTCTGTATGTGTTATTTATTTATTTGGGTTATTGTTTTAAAGAGATATTACTGCCAGGGGATTTGCACCCATTATCTGTTATTTACAGCCAATGTCACCTTATTCACAAGGGGCAACACGTTGACAGATCCACACTATGATTTCACTCACATCAGCATATTATAAGACCAGTCAAGGTCAACATTTAGGCCTCCTCTGAAGTTAAATAGCCTAGTTATTGCAGACGTGATAAATGTATGCATAATTCTGGGTGTTATCAGATCTGATTAACATGGGATGCCTCATATGAAGTGATGTACATTCAAATGCATGAATTATAAACAAGAAGCAAGGTATTGGTTGTACAGATTTATGTTGTGTCTAGCAAAAAACATAACTGCATCTGAAATCAATTAGATGTCTTGTTATAAGTGCATAGCACAGATTGTATGGCCAATATAAATAAGTCAACATGTCAGACCTTATTGTAAAGGTGCTCTAAATAGATGAAAGGGGTGGTTTGATATATGGTGATATGTCCTAACATTATCATGCATAGTGGTTTTGTTTTGATTTGTAAGTGTTAGCTTACATCAAAGCCAATTAATCTAATTAATGAGACAACTGTTGCATTTATCAAGTATAAGTTTCAGAAAGAATTCTATTGCATTAGATGCTGTCTATAAAGTATGTCCAGTTTTTATTTACTGTAATCCTTTTTATGTTTAAGAGAGGGCTAATTCACCCAAAAAATCATTCCAAACTTGTATGACTTTATTTCTTCTCTGAAACATAAAAAATATTGTGGTTTGATATATGGTGATATGTCCTAACATTATCATGCATAGTGGTTTTGTTTTGATTTGTAAGTGTTAGCTTACATCAAAGCCAATTAATCTAATTAATGAGACAACTGTTGCATTTATCAAGTATAAGTTTCAGAAAGAATTCTATTGCATTAGATGCTGTCTATAAAGTATGTCCAGTTTTTATTTACTGTAATCCTTTTTATGTTTAAGAGAGGGCTAATTCACCCAAAAAATCCTTCCAAACTTGTATGTCTTTATTTCTTCTCTGAAACATAAAAAATATTAAAAAAAAAAAAAAAGTCTCAGTGGGTTCCAATGTTGTTTGGGCACTAATGTTCTACAAAACATCTTGTTTTGTATTCTGCAAAGATAGTCATACAGGTTAGGAATGACATGAGGGTGAGTAAATGATGACAGAATTAAATTTTAAGGTGAACTAGCCCATTAAGACTTTAGCTTTATAAAGTGCTGCATTTATTTCATGTATTTGTTGATATCAGATTTCTTTCAGATCACTGACGTGTTAAAAAAAGGACCAATTCAAATACACAGTATGCAGCTTGAGGGTACTTTAAACAAAAATACTGTAAAATATAATAAAACATTTCTTAAAAAGAATTCTGAAAATGAATGAGTAAAGAAATATTTGCCTTATTTAGATATGATTAAATACTATTACATATAATAATGTGCCTTTGGTTTCAGGAGGAGCCTGGAGAAACTCTGGGAGGTGCCAATAACAGGGGGTCAATGTGGTTATGCCCTCTATGTCAGGAAAGTCAACCAGACCGTGAGAATCTCTCTCATCACCTTACGGACAAACACAGTGTCCTCCCTGCTTGCCTTGATAAGTTACTGGATATTGTGAGTATATTTACAAAGAGCACATAAAAAAAAAAAGGGTTTAATATTATTATGTATGTTTTGATGGTGCAGGCTCTGTATATATAAACAAAAGTAATGACAAGCTTATAGAAGTGTTTTAAGTAAATAATTGGTTTCCTCTTTTCATAAGGCTGCTCCTAAGCACCGTTCCATTGCTGAAGAAGAAGAATCCAAAGCCCAAAATGATGCAGGTGACTTTTGATAATCTATAAAGTTATTTTCAAGTGTTTGTGTTTGTGCCACAGTGGTTCAACACTATCCCAGCACTGAGATCCAGGGTTCCAGTGTTATTGATACCCGGCTTAGGTTATGCACCACTGGACACACAATTGGCTGTGTTGGTGACCACCCGCTTCAGTATCCATGGCAATGAAGCACCTGTAGGTTGTAGCCTGCTGAGTGTGGGCCCCCACAAGTATTCAGTTTTTGTGCTGACTCCTGGACGTGATGATTGAAACAGAAAAACATTTTTATTTAAATGTTCTGCTTTTAAATCTTGAAAACCTGATGTCCAGCATTTGTTTTCATGTTGGATATCAGGGGTTTCACAAGCTTTCTAGAGTCAGGGATGAACCAGGGACCCCTGTTACATGCTGTATAAACTGAGTGTTGTGTTTTAAGCATGGTCTATAATAACGTGTATAGTTTATTCATTTATTTACCTACGATATGATATTGCAAAATCCAAAATATTATTATTTTTGATTTATGGATTCATATACTTATACATTACAATACTTAGTATTAAGTATTTTTGATAAACACTTTTTTTTTTTTTTATAAACAAAAAAGATAAAACAATTAGTGG